ACTGAGCGGTTCCACTCTTGATCCATCAAACTCCTGACACCAAAATCAAAATTCACATTCGAAGACAAAACACAAATTCCGTATCTATCCTGCTACCTTCCAGACCTTCAAGGTATTATTTCCTTAGCTCTAAATCTGCATGGTCCCCATGCCAACAGATTGGTGCCAATAAGCAGACCACCTCTGGCCAACCTAGCAAGTCTGAACCCCGCTGGGTGACCTCTGGCAAGCAAGTTCACCTCCCACCGGCCCGGTTTCCACACCTGGAATGTGGAGGCGGCAGCCCTTCCATGAAATGGTGGCTGGATGGGGAACAACTAATGAAAAGAGGATCATAAAACCCTCTGCAATACACTCACTGTCCCATAAAAAGTTAATGATTATAATCGAGCTGTGGCTAGAAGTCTGCAAAGTGGGCACATGACGCCCCTCAGTCACTGTGCTGGTATCTGATAACAGGACGCTGTCTGCCCTGGCGCCTCCATCAGCTGTGCAAACTGGCCCTGGCTTAGTCTGGTTTCTTCCCACAGAGTTGCCAGGGGAAAGACATCACTGAAGTCGAGTTGTCTTGGTCTAATCATCACCAGCTCTCCCTGAAGACAAGCGCCTCCCAGCCTCCTAACAAAGATCAAGAACCTCTGCATGTCTATGGCTGAGAGATGCCAGACATCTCAGGAACCTCCTCCATGAACCTGGCCCCTGCTGCTGAGGCCGCCCCACTGTAAAGCATGTCATCGTTCTAACCACATCAGAGGGGACAACAGTACTGGCTGAACTATGCTGGGGTCAGAGGTAAAGGGAAGATCTTTTAAGTGATACCTTCCATATCAAAGAGACATAGAGTGACTGGTCTGGCTGGTCTGCTATCTTTTTCTCAAAATATCTTTGCCGATTCCTACTCTACACCTCTCCTCACGCTGTCTGCAATGCCTCCTTGTTCCACTTGCCTGCCTGAAAAAATCCACTCATCCATGTAGGCAGCAAAGAATTAAAGAAGTACTGAATGACGGTGAAGGGTATGAGTTTTAGAGTCAGACAGACCTGCGTTCAAATACCAGCTCTGCCACTTGCCAACTTCTTTGACCTTGGGCAGTCATTTAACATCTCAGAGTCTCAGTTTCCCCATCTACAAAATGGGGCTAGTCATGCTGCCCACACAGGATTGCTGTAAGAACGAAATAAGAGACAGCAGCTGCTATTGTGTCTGGCTTACGGTGATGGTGATGATGATCACAACAGCCAAAAATAGACTCCCCCCTACCATGTCTTATAAGCCAAATCTCTCCCAGCTAAGCTGGAGATGCAGGGCAGAGGACTGTCAGGGCCATTTCTGTGTTCTTAGTACCTGGGCCAATACCCATTGAGTTTGATTAGACAGAATCGCTCATATGAAGGTGGATGCAGAAGATTAGGAGGAAATATGGCAGATGCTTGGATTAGAAAGATGACCCCTCCTTCACTAGCCATTATCCAAATATGGGCAACAGCAGTCCACTTAACCTGCAGCCTCCAGCAGAGGCAATTTCTGCTTATTCAAGTCTTCATTTGCATAATAATAGCAGAGGAAGCTCCACCTGGGCTCAGGTGATGATACTCTTGGCATTGATTTTAAGATACAGATATGAAACCAGCCACGTAGCAGAAATTTATTTTCCCCAACCTTTGTTTTTAATCTCAAAAAAAAAAAAAAACACTGACCTCACAGGTTTATCAAGAACAAGGGTATTAGATCTAATGTCACTACTCTTGCCCTTCCCATCCTCACTGCCACCCCTTGCATCCTGACAATGCAGCCACCCATTCAGTACTCCCAGTAAGATTTTAGAAGATAAATATTTGCCCTCCCTTCTCCTGCGCGGTCCACTGGGACTTCTCTCAAGTGTTCCTTCTCCACCTCTCCTTCTCCGTCATTGCTGTTAGTTGCCATCAAGTTGATTCCGACTATTGGTGACCCGGTGTGTTACAGTTAGAACTGCTCCATAGGATTTTCTTGGCTGTAATATGATAGGGAGCAGATCACCAGGCTTTGTCTTCCATGGCACAAACCATTTGCGCCACAATCCAGGAGTGACTTCTCCTTCTTCTGAATTCTTACAGGGCTACTTTCTGGTCACGGCACTTATATAGGGTCTTGCATACGGCACATAAATGCAATCCATTTATTCTTTCCTTCAACAAATATTTCCTGAGTGCTTGCTCTATTCCAGACACTGGGGATACAGCAGAGAACAAAACAAACATGGAACTTCGTTCATGGAAACTGCATCCTGTGACACTCAATTCCTCCCTAAATGAACGGACCAAGGAGACACAGCCCTTTATCAAATAGTGACAAACTCTCCACTATTGTTGGCCAAGGCAGCTCTCTTTTTTTCAAAATATACTTTGCCTTTTCCTATTCCTCACCCTTCCTCACACGGTCTGTGTGCAAGCATCCATGTTCCACTTGGCCTGTCTCACATCTACGCATCCTACCCAGATTAAGCCCCACCTCCTCCCTGAAGTCCCCCCAAACTACCTCAGCCAGCAATGGTCCCTTCCTTCTTGAACTGATAGTGAACTTGTAGATTATGACTGGACTTCACAACTACATCCTACCCTCTGAATGCCTGGCATCCTGTCTTTTCCAATGCGCTACTCTCTCTCACCTGGTGCCAGACTTTCCACATAACAGGTTCTTAATGAAAGTTTTTGATTAGCTGACTAGCCAGACACTGTGAATACTCAAGGGACAGACAAGGGTATATAAATCAGTATTTTAGGGCTTACAGTCAGGGACTTTCAAACAGATTTTTGTTCGGTTGTTTTGTTTTTATCGTGTGAAAATATAGACACCAAAACATTCGCCCACACAACTTCCACATTTTCAATTCAGTGACATTCAGGACTTTTTCCACGTGGTGCCACCATAATTGTGGTCCTTTTCCAAAATATTCCACCACCATTAGCGTAAACACAGTGTCCCCCAAACAAAAACTTCCCCTTCTCCCCCTCTCTCCCATCCCTAGTAACCGTTAATAATCTTTGGTTTCTATATATTTGATTATTTCCTATAAGTGAGATCATACAGAGTTTTGCACCTTGAAAAGCGTAACCAAAGGGACTCCAATCAGGGATTTTGATATATGTTGGCCCTTAAAGAAGGAATTACACTAATGTCAGGAAAACTGATGTTTGTCCTCTGAGAAGGTGTAATCATTGCCCGCTTAGACCATGTGGTTCACTTCAAAGACCCAATCTGTGCTGTCAGACGCACTTCTTCTCGTACTTTAGGAAATGCTTTCAAAAGCTATGGTTCGAGATGAGCCTTTGATGGTGCACCCTCTCCCCAGAGCTGACTGCGAGCCAGCTGAGAGCCAAGAGCTAGGCTGGGCTTTATCGGATACCCAGGGACGCCACACTCACAGCACCCTTCACCTACAGATAAGGAAAAATCTCAAAGAAAAACATGGGAAAAGTTCCAATTTACACGTGTGGCAGAATAGCTAAGAAGCTAAAACTAATGCTTATTGGGCAACTACTTTAGTGAGTTGCGAGGTTTAAAAAAATATTACAGGCTATTTAACACTTTAAAACATGTATTGAGCTCTGAACGCCCAGCCAGGTGCAATATAAGGTGAGTAAATAAAACACATTCTTGTCTTCTAGCAGCATTGACTCCCGGCAATGCGCCTGGTTCCCACTCTTCCACAGTTTAGAATGAAAATTTTAATTCCAGACAATATTCTGTTAGTTACCTTCTCTTTGTTTCATCTCCTTTCCCTTGGAATTAAACTTTCATTTTTTTTTAATTCGATTGTTTAATTTTTGAGTAGTAATGCATTGGAAAAAAAAGCCAAACCCATTGCTCTCGAGTTGATTCCAACTCATAGCGACCCTGTAGGACTGAGCAGAACTGCCCCATAGGGTTTCCAAGGAGCCGCTGGTGGATTTAAACTGCTGACCTTTTGGTGAGCAGCCATAGCTCTTAACCACTGCACCCCACGTGGTTCAGATATCAAAAGTATGAAAAGGTATATGCTAACAAGGTACTTCCCCAACCCCTCCCTACAGGCAGTTACTCTTAGTAGTCTTCCGAGTTTTCTTAGAACATTTTTTAGCAAGAACTAATATGTAGTCTTATTTGGGGAATTTAACCTTCCTTATCACAACACTTCCCACTCCAAACCATCAGAGGACAGGCTGGGAGTGCTGTCCAGTAAGGGGTCCAATGCCCTGCACTGTGCCCAGGCATACAAGGCTCAATAAGTGCTTGTTGACCAAAAAGACATCTATTGTGGGAAGAATCCAGGCAGAGACAGCCTGCCTTCTGCTTCTGCACGAGTGCTATGAACTCAGTCAGATCCCGACTTGACGTAAAGGGACAAGGACTTTGACTGGTTCCCCCAAAGCCTCCTCAATCTTCATCCTATTTCCCTATCTGCCTTTGGAGTGGTTCTGAGGGTAGGGTTGTCCTTGTCGCTGTTGTTCAGTCACCCCTGATTCGTGGTGACCCTGTGCACAATGGGATCCGCCCACCGTGAAGGTGGAGGAAGGAAAGGGAAGTAAAAAGAGAAGAACGTAGGAAATGAGGAAGAGAGAAAACTCAAGGAAGGATGCTGGTGCCAGGGGAGGGCTGCAGAGAAGTATGGACCCCTCTGAAGGGGAAGGGTCGAAACGAAAACCATCAGAAAATTCTGAGGATTTCCCCCACCCCTGCTCCTCCTCCATCCCTACCTCGGGCATTGGGTGGGACTTGGGGTACTGAAACACCTCCCCAAGATTAAGACTCGACAACTATATCACAACCCAAGGTCATTACTGAACGCCTGGGTCTGGGAAAAACATTGCAGACCAGACCGCACATGCCTGGCTGTGCTGGGGGTGGGGGTCTTTTCCACACTTGGGAGTCTACCCCTTCCCCCAGCCCGAAGCATCTCTTGAGTGTAGGCCTTAGCTTCCCACTTCCTTTATGGTATATCTTATTGTCAGAAGCAAAACTTCTCTCTCTCTCTCAAAAAAAAATTGGGTTTTATTTTTTAGGTACAAGTCCTCCTATCTTATCCCAACAGAGTGCCTTACCATTCTTCTAGAAACAGATCTAATTCCAGGAAGAGCTCTTCTACCTCGATGGGCTGTAGCCTTTCTTTTCCATGGCAGCTGTGAACCTTTTTATAGCAGACACCACAAAATCCCTATGGTCCAGTCAAACCACAAAAATGCCTGCTTCCTTCCTGCCTGGTATTCAACAAATTATAAAAATTAAATTCATTTGTCCTAGTCAGTGTGTCTTTTGACAAATCTCAAAGCGCTGTGAAGCTGAGAGGCTGCTTGTTGAGGTGCATTGTCAGAACAAGGAAGCTAAATTATTTAAAATCTATGACCAGTTCAATGTCAAAGAAAGCCAGAAGCCATGTGCTACTCTGGTGACAGGCAGGAGCGCGGAGAACGTGGAAGTGCCCAGTCACCCCGCACGGCACGACGTAAGATTAAAGCATCTGCTCACTCTCAGAGGTATAATTACCACCGGGGTGGGGGTGTAATCAAAGCAAGGATAATCTCCCTCGAGAGAAGATAAAAATTAAGAATTTTTAATGATAATAATAATTAGCCCTTTTATACCTAAGAATTGCGAAATGCTTTACAAGCTGTAATTATCATAGCTCCCCTCTGAGGAAGGGATTCATATCTGACAGATCCTCACCCAACAGAGGGGTGAAGTGATGGGCACAGGCGAAGGCAGAGCGGGGTGGAGTGCTGTCCCCTCAATCACTTGTCCTGCAAGTGGTGAAACTGGAAAGAGGCCCCAGAAGGGCTGACTCCCATCATGGTGTGAACCCTCATGCCAAGCCGTCACCCAAACCCATAGAACTCCATCCCAGCTCAAGTGATTCATCTCCTTCTGAGCTGGTGGCCATTTAAGCTGCCATATGCAAGAAAATTATAGATATCAGCAAGGATTTTACTAAGCGCCCAGTAGAAATAGAAGATATAGCATTGCCTTCAAGGAACTGAAAATCTAACTGAGAAGACAAAGCAAGCATCCATTAAATTAGAGAAGAACATGAAAATTACACATTAACTAGTGCTAGGTAGTGTGGTGCTCATGAGGCATGCTGTGGGAAAAAAAATTTTTTTAATTGGAAGACTATTTTATGTAAGGGGAAGGGAAGGCTTTGGGGAAGAGATGAAACTTGTATGGGGCTCAAGTTCTGACAGAAGTGGGGTGCCAGGGGATGGGTCAGTAATAAGAGGAGATAAGAGGAAAACTTGAACAACTGAACATATAATTTTAAAGAAAAAGTCTTCATTGGAGAGGCATTAATAGAACTTACCGAAGAATCTTACTTATCTCAAAGCCATCTAAAATCATCCTATTTTGGACAACATCATGGCTCATCTTGGGTTCTGGAGAAGCCCATTAGGCTGAAGATGCCACTGGAAACTTCTCTGCTTTATTTAAATTCCCACTTTGGCAGTTATCCAATAAGGCCGAGTCAGGGTCTGATCCGGGTAGAAAGCCACAGAATGTCAAAGCTGCTGTGTTCTTTTTCTATGTTCTGAGAGGAGGAAATGGGAAACGAGCTCTTGAATGAGATGAAGACCAGGAAAATCCAATCTTTTTTTAGATCTGTATTTATTTGCTTGTTAATCCAGCAGATTCCCACCTTTCAAGATTTCAGCACGGATAGGGGCTTTGTGATGGGTGTGATATTAAAGTATCTGAGTAATACGTCATTTTCTCTGTAATGAAGAGCCCAAGTCTCAATGCCAGGTAACAGTATGATACTTTAGCTGCGCTCTAGACCCACCGGCCTAAACCCTTGATAAAGAAGGGCGCTGTTGCAGATGGAATAAGGGCACCTGGGGTCGTTCCTGGGAGAGTCAGTAATGTCCTCTGGCCCTCAATGCCTCAATCTCCAGACTTAGGAAAAAAAGATAATGAGCCTTTTTGTCTATAAAGAATTCGGAGATCTGCAGATTAGAAAAACACCATCCTTTTTTTGATGAACCACAATGAGTGGAAACCTCCAGATTTCAAGAATTCCCAATTGGTCTTAGATAAAAATGGGCTGAACCAATTTGTCAGAACTTGAGAATTTTCTACATTCTCTGGTATTTACCAGTCTTTCAAGAAACGGAAAACAATGAAAATTATTTCTTTGTCCAAACCTCATGACAGGGGCTCCTTTTCAAATTATATTCAACTTTCTTAAATAACAACACTGTAAAATTAAAAGAACATTTTGTAGGGGCGCTTTGTTGAGGTGAGTATCAAACCTGACTTTAGAAAGGAAAAGCAACAGCATTTGAATCTATTTACAACCTCCCTGATGACAGACCAAGAGCGGGCAGCAAGAAAAGGCTGATTCTCCTCGGTTTGTGAGGATTGTAAAATATTCCCCTTTAGGCTGTACTGATTCTAAACCAGAGCAGGTAAGAAAGCCATCACCATATTTAAGATCTAGCTTCATTCTGAAGAGGAAAGTGTTTTTCTGTTACGAAGGATGTAATTTCAGGCTTTTTTTTCCAAGGTTCTTCAGAAGCATCTTCCTTTGGGGTTTACCTGTCTATTTGTTCTGCTTGCTCAGCCACGATTTTAGAATTATTAATGGTATTTTCCCTTTATTCTCATAGAACCTAACAACTGGGTATACTGACTATAGAAAGGTAATAGAGTCATGCAATTGCATCCCACCACCTGGGATGAGGTGACCCAGACATCACACACAGGTGGATAAAAACAAAAGCAGACCTCAGGCAGAGCTTGTCCAGAAAATTCCTTGCGGGATTCCCATAGAAAAGACTAACGCCCCCTGTGAGAGATGGGGGTTCCGTGATGATCTGTGGTTGCCATGTGCACATTTCTCATGGTACTCCCATCCTGGGGCCCAGAGATTAGGAGAATCATAGAGAACTCTAAATAGAAGGGAGGGAGAGACCTCCACTCCTACACTAAGAAGCCACCACATCAAGTTTACTAAGTGATCCTAAGAAATGGTGACAGTTGTAGGAAAACAGACTTTAGTGCTGAAGTTTCCAAGGAGGCAGGGGACAGATTTACAATGGCATTCCATCTCCTATCACTTCTACTTTCCGCTTTACCCCATATCTGGGGTGGCAGCAAGTGAAGAGGTGAATTGAATTCAACTCCATTATTATCTGGACAAAAAAAAATGTAGCAATCTGCTTCTGTAGAGATTTACAGCCTCGGAAACCCTATAGGGTCACTACGCACCAGAATCGACTCAACAGCAGTGGGTTTTGGGTTTATCATTTGGACAAATCTGCAGACAAAGAAAAAGCCATCAAGATCTAGGTTCCAAGTCTTCACATTCCATTAAAAGACCCTACAGAGTCTCCCTAAATTCAGAAAAGCAGCAGTTGCCTCTGATTGGACCCAAGAGGAGCCAGAAATGCCGAGAAGCCACTGAACCATGCAATGGTCTTCATAAACCTGCCGTGAACCAAAGTTTCATATAGTCTGAGATGTAAGGGTGGGAGTTGCTGACAACCAGGAATAAAATCCAGTTCCTTACAATCAAACGCACTGAGATTTGCAAATGATGAGCGAGGTTGAGAAACCCATGACAGAAATAATGGGCTGGAACAGCCGATTACCTTAATGCGCTTCCAGGAGGAGAAGCAGACTTAAGTGTTCAGGTGTCATAACCATTAGTAACTTATGATGATTAGATCTACAATAATGCATTACACCAGCTCTTTTTCTCCAGGGGCCTCAATATGCTAATGAAAAAAGAAAAGAGCACACTCCATTTAGATGTGATACCCCTAAGAATAAATTTTCAGTGTTCAAGTTTCCTTATGAATAGTTTGATGAAAATATATTTTTAAAGCACCCTTCAAACGTGTTTACTAAAGAGGCAATCCTTGAATCTGTAAGAAAACCTTCCTAAAATGCAAGAATACAGATGTAAATTTTTCCCACCTGCATTTTTAGAAAAGAAACTAAATCAATTCCTTTTTCGTTGTCCTAGAATTGCCTCAGGTAGGGGTCATGAGCAGCTCCCCGAGGACGGAGAAATTACTTAGTTCTGATCAGTTTATGTCAAAGTTTCTGCTTAAACCCAACCTTGAACTTGTATCTTTTATAAAATAAATGGCTTAAAGGTTGCTACTTTGTAATGAAGTCATAATCAGTAAAGATTCTGAACATCAAATTTGTCTTATTTAATTTTCCAATTTTGAATTAAAGAAAATTAGAGATTTTGCCAAATACTCTCCTCTTTCATGTTAGGTGGGGCCGATACCCTGTCGGGAGGCAAGTCTGTGAACCTTGTGCCAAATAGCTACGTAAGCAACTTGTGAGATAAACAAGCCATTTGTGGAGACAGAGGTGGAGCTGGGCTTGGTTAGGAATGAATCAGGCCAATCCACAGAGTGGGTGTCTCCTTCCCAAGTTGCTCTCCAGGGCACAATTAAAACTCTTATAAAAGGCCTTGCTCCCAGTTACCCACTACACTTGCCAGCGGTATCAGCAAGCACTCGACTTCCTCTTCTGGTGAAGTGGGTGAGTCTCATTTGGTATGATTCTTCATCTTCTAGCTATGGGAGATGTTGTGCCAGAAGGGATCAGTATCTTACAGGGATGTCTAACTCCCACTAACTCCATTCCATCTTCTTATGGTTGAAGCCATTACTTGAATGGAGATGCATCCTTCCCCCAAGGCTCTGAACTCTGTATCATTTGCTTGTCAGGGATTGGGGGAAGATCACGTGTGGCTCTGCTGAGGCTCATCTTCCAAAAAATTGCTCTCTCAAGAGTTTGTCAGTCCTCTGTTCTCTTTTTGTATTGGCTCTACCCAAAATGGGCCATCTTCATATAGTTATGGCATCTAAGGTATTGGAGTTGAGAAGTATATAAAGAAGCCAGCCAGCTGCATCACTAAACTCACCCAGCCTGTGAAGCCTTCCATGTATTCTTTTACCATTGATCTTCTGATGGCTAAATTCTGTTTTTTATAATGTCAAGGTTCAAAAGGTTTATTTGGGTTTAACAAAAGCTAACCACAACACCAACAGTATTCAAAGCTCTTCAGGTTCAGTTTGACCTGTTGACTCCAGCAGCCGGTCGGGACGGACCTCTCAGGTGCTTCTGACAATTGAATATCTGCAATATATCTGAGTTAAGGCATGTAAGATGCACTCTGTTTTCTGCAATGGTGTATCTGTGTTTTGGCTAGGAAGAAGTGGGGTTTAATTAGAAGGTTGGTGTCCTATGAGTTACACGTCTAGATCTCTCGCGGACTGTAATGTTGGGGGATAATACACATTCCCTTCTTATTGTTCTAGTGGTTCCCATATGTTCTGCTGCCACATTCAGCTGTGCACGACTTCTACCCACTTTATGATACTCTCAAATCTTCCCTCTCCTTTTGCCTTTCACCAACCCTCTTGGCTCAAATTTAGAGGAATCTGCTTGTGAGTTAAGAACGTACCAAATTTAAGTTTTCTTACTACTCTCTTTACCAACTGCTCTGAAATGCTCTGGGGAGCTCGAAGATAAAAACCAAAAATCCAAACCCATGCCTTCGAGTTGATTCCGACTCATAGCAACCCTACAGGACAGAGTACAACTGCCCCGTGGGGTTTCCAAGGCTGCAAATCTTTACGGAAGCCAACTGCCACATCTTTCTCCCAGGGTGTAGCTGGTGGGTTTGAACTGCTGACCTTTCGGTTACAGCTGGTCACTTATCCATGCACCACCAGTGCTTCTTAGCTAGGAGATAGAGAAGGAAAACATACGCATAATTTGGACTGGGTAGATAATCAAAAGCTGTCTAAATAGTCGGACAGGATAGTCTGAAAATGATTCTCTGACTTGAAATTTCTCAGGGTATCTCTTCCCCTTCCTGAGTGCAATATTTACAGACAAAATGCTTTGAAAATGCAGGTTGAAGACTACCGTTGTGAAATCAAATTATTCAGGGATCTGAATGAAACAGCACGGATGAAGCCTTCTTAAGAGCAGAAACAAGGTTTTGATTCTAGACCCTATTGTATTGTTCTAGGTTTACTTGAACTTGAAGGGAGAAGAAAAATGTCTGCACTTCTGAGAAGCATCTTTGACATCACTGAAATTTTCAATCAATGTGCTTCAAATGATTGTAATGGGGCAGGACTACACAAGAAAGACTTAAAGGAACTCCTTGAAAGGGAATTTGGTGATGTCCTCCGGGTAAGAGCTAACAAGAAAAGGAAATCTCTCTATTGATTTAGGGCTATGAAATTTCTTCTCAGGAGAGATCAGGGCAAGGAGCAGGGACTTTCTTCTATTCATTTTAAACCATGACAGGTCTAACCCTACATTCTTCATTCATGAGTCTAAAAGCACTTAATTGGCCTTGTAGTCTGAGTACTATAGAAACTGCTAGCCAATATTTGATGCACTTAATGGCAATGTGAATGAACTATTCATGGGTAGTTATCATCAAAGATACTGAATCAAACTAGACTCGGGAGGAATTTAATTCCAAATTTCAAGAACTGAAATCAGCCTGTTCCCTACTAAAATGGTGTTACCATATATGTTTTGTTCTGTTTTCAAACACAGGAAAGAAATCAAATCAGAGGTACTGGCTATTTCAGATAGAAATGGCTCCCGTAAATCTTCGTAAATTTCCACTGTATTTCTCTCTTGAGAATGAGACTATTCTAATTCACCCAAGTCAAGAGAACTTGTGTCCTTTTGATCAGCACTAAATTACAAGATGCAAGAATTTCAAAAAATGCAAGCTTTAAAATGAGGTGTTCACATTTTACGTGGGAAAGACAAGACGTGATACACACTGGGCATTTATCTATTTGTGTGATTGAAAGTTGTTCAAGTCTTGTAGTTATGAATAGTACATTGTAATTTTTTCCCATCTTTTTCATAGAGGCCACATGACCCTGAGACGGTAGCTCTGGCCCTGGAACTTCTGGATCGCGACTTCAATGGGCTTATCGATTTCCATGAATACCTCCTGTTAATTTTCAGGATAGCCCAAGCTTGTTATTACGCTCTCGGCCAGGCCACCGGGCTCGAAGAGGAGAAAGGAGCAAAGTATGAGGGAAAGGGAAACCCACTGAATGATCGCAGGCAAGAAGACCAGAGGAGATTCGAGCGCCGGGACAGACCGGTGGAAGAAGAACGCAGGCATAAGAGGCAGGAGCGGGCGAGGGAGCTGGTGGAGGAAGAGCTGCAGACGGACAAGCAGCGCCGCGACGAGGCGCAGAGGCTGCAAAGGCTAGAATGGCTTGAGCGGGAAGAAGAGCGCCGCGAGGAGATAGAGCAGCTGCCGAGGCGCAAGGGTCGGGAGCCAGAGGACGAGCAACTGCAAAGGCGGGAGAGGCAGGGGCAGCGCGAGCCACTGCGCCTCGAGGAGGAGCTGCAACGGAGACGCGAGCCCCTGGAGCGCCAAGAGGAGGAGGAGCAGCTGCAAAGGCGGGAACGGAGGGAACTGCAGAGGGAGCGCCAGGACGAAGAGGAGCAGCTGCAGAGGGAGCGCCAGCAGGAAGCAGAGCGAAGGCAAAGGCGGGAGGGAAACGAGCTGAGGCTGGAGGAGCAGCTGCAGAGGCGCGAGCAGCGGGAGAGGCGCGAGCAGGAGCTGGCGGAGCAGGAGGAGCCGGAGCTGGCCGAGAGCCGCACCCCGCGCTGGCAGTGGCAGCTAGAAAGCGAGGCCGACGCCCGGCAGAGCAAAGCCTACTCCAGGCCCCGGGGGCAGGAGGAACAGAGGCGCCGCCTGGAGCAGGAAGAGGAGCAGAGACGGCGCCAGGAGCGCGAGCGGCAGCTGCGCCGGGAGCAGGACGACGCCCAGCGACAGGCGCAGCCCGGGCAGCTCCGGCAGGAGCAGCGCCGCGACTTCCAGTGGCAGCAGGAGGAAGAGAGACAGAGGCGCCGCCAGAGGCTGTCCACCAGGCCCTCGCTGAAGGGGCAGCGGAAGAGAGAGTTGAGGGCGGACGAAAGCCAGAAGCGGGAACTACTGCTCCGTGAGGAGGAGCAGCGCTGCCAGCGGCGCCAGAGGGCGCAGGAGCCGCAGTTCCGCGAGGAGGAGGAGCAGCTCCAGCGCCAGGAGCGGGACAGACAGGACCTCGAAGAGGAGCTGTTGCAGAGAGAGGAGCGGGAGAAGAGAAGGCTCCAGGAGCGGGAGAGACAATATCGGGAGGAGCAGCAGCTGGAGCAAGAGGAGGAGCGGCTGCAGAGAGAGGAACGGGAGAGACAATATCGGGAGGAGGAGCAGCTGGAGCAGGAGGAGGAGCGGCTGCAGAG